GCTCTCCAGCTCTGTGGAACAAAAAACTTGCATATCCATAGTTTCCAAGCTCCATACAGCATGTTGCTTCGATCCGCAGTGCTCGTGCTTCATCAAGAAGATTTCCAGCAGATTTAGCCAGCCTTTGAGCCTCATTCGCGTACTGCTGGGCAGCGGGATAATCACCACTCCTGTACTTGATCTGAGCAATATTGAGGTTCACGATGGATGGCTGGTCATCTCCAACACCTGAATTTGACGATCCAAGTGCCTTTTCAAAGAATTGCATCCCTGTGGAGAGATCATATTTGGTATAGCAATAATAATTTCCAGCCGCGCTACAGAACCTGGCTATTATGAAATAAACCATGTTAGGAAGGGGAGTACAAAATAATTCTGAACTCACACTGAAGGACTGGCTCGTCCAAGTTTTCAAAATGGGAAACACCTGCAGCAATCATTTCTTCTGCATTGGCAACAGGACCATGAATCCGAGAGTTCAGTACTTCCGTGATGAATCGGGCCTCTAGTCTGTGGTCTGCGACCTGAGCAAGAAAAGGTGGAATCTGGTCCATCAATGTGAAATGACCATGCCCAGTGAACCTATAGAATGACTGCAAAGCGATTGTACACTTTATTGTCTCTGCCAGATCTGGGTTATCTGGATGGAATCCAAGCATTAGCAACTGTTGGAGGTTCTTGACATTTGAATTTATTTCAGTGACAACCCTTCCCAGCATGGCCCCCATGTATTTTTGATATAGCTCCAGAAGTGAATGGAAATACTGTTGAAGAGGTCGCACTAGAAGTGGAGACGGCGGGTCGAAATGCCGTATATGTTCTCGAATTGGCGTCAGCGACTTCAGGCGGTGCATATCGTCGATATAGGCCAACGAAGTGCGAAGCAATGCCACTTTGCACCGAAGAATATGATTTATGGGAAGATTGCTTTGGACCAATTCAGTGTCGGTAAGTCCATCCGGGAGTACTGAGAGGATACGCAAAAGATCATATGCGCCTGGCAACGACAGAATCCGGGGGCTTGAAAGTGAGAGTCTGATGGATGCATCCAGATTGGATTTTCTGTCGTAACTCTTTGAGAGCAATGAAGTTTTTTCGCTCTCCCAACGGGCCAACACAGTGGAACACCCTTCATAATCAACCAGATGAGCGATAATTTCCACAGCAAGTGGCATGTTATCTGTGAGATGAAGAAGTCGCTTTACACTTTGTTCGTCGTGAGTGTTATCTGCAACGTCAATGAAAGTCTGGCGAGCGGCTTCGTTTGACAGAGGCTTCAAGGGTTGCAAGAATGGCCGAGTCCATGCAACTTTGGCGGGTCTTTCGGCACCTCGCATCGTGATCTGTCGATTCATTAGGCCAGCCAATCATAAAATTGTGGTGTACTTACCAGTAATGCAAGATGGCGTAAATCGCTAAGAAGAGAGAGAAACTCTTCGACTTCACTACGTGATTTCAGTGGCTCCCATGGGGTCTCCAGATTATCCAGGATCAATAAAACTGATTCGGCGGAAGAAAGACTTTTGGCCACAGCTTGTCTGAGGTCCTTCCCTGGTTGCAGGCCTATATGCAACCCAATCTGGGCAGCCAGCTCAATGCTATTCTGTGCTGAATCACAGGTTACAAAGAGCCTCTTCTCATACTTCGTCGCAATCTCAGGATGATGCAGAGCAGCCCTTGCCAGGCTGGTTTTACCCATTCCACCACCTCCGATAATTGATATCCTGGCTGTATCTTGAGTGAGAATTTTCATGATATGTTCCAGTTCTGATTCGCGACCGTGGAAGATTTTCGGTCTTGGTGGCAGCAGGGCAAATGAATTCGAGCTGAAGAGCCATCTGAATGAAAGAGCTGTGGGATGACGTGCAGGGCATACCTGCTTTGGTGGCTATGGGCCGCCTGATAGATCTGACTTTCGAGTTACACGGTATTTCGAGATCAGAATACACGGTACATACCGAAGATGACCCGTCTGACCCTGTACTCTCTTCCAGGTTCGCAATTAACTCTTGCACTGCCCTATGCATGATTTCTGATTTCCTCTCCATCTCATGAATACTGTTGAAAATATTTGGGCCGCTCTCGACCTGCCTTTCACGTTAGTGTGTGCTGTACAACCAAAGCCGGTTTATACCTTGAACACTTCCAACGCTTCTTTCACTCCTGCACGACAATCCCCCAGTAGTTTATTCATCTCACTCTGTCGGAAGAGGTGTTTGATCTTGTATCGATCTTGCTGCATTTCAACAAATGTGTGTATCTTGTGAAGTGTTCTGTAAAAATTGATCAGCCCAGAGAGTCGAGAATTGTATTGGACTGAGGGGAATGGAACCTACTCGGTAAATTTTCCGATGTGCATCAATGCTCCGGGTGGCAAGTTACCCTCAGCATCCAAAGATATATGGAGATTGATAATAGCATAGACAAGCTGATGAATGCTTTCCAGGAGCTGGGTACATTCTTCCTTGTGCCTCCTAATATTCTTTCAAGTCAACATTAGATTAGCCGAAATCTCATTAGTAAAGCCAGCCATTACTCACCTGCCCCGCCGTAACAAGAGACAATACTGTGCCTGCAATTGCCGGCAAAAAAGGGGTGCCAAAGGACTGATTAAGTTCATTAAGGAGTGTCACGGCCGGCTTTAGACAGGCTGTGATGTTGTTTAGGTGGATTTCAGCAAGGGTCGCTTTGTGAGGCATCTTAGAATGTCGAGAAAGAGTTCCGAGGCGCCAACTTCATATACACCCTGTAGCTAATTTTGACTTAATTAGTTTAACCCTTGCGGGGTTCAGATTCCACGACCCTGGGTAACTTGAAGCCGCTCATGGTGAAATGAATATGGATCTGCTTCCGTGAAAGACACCGATTAAATTCCTCGGGAATCTCTTACTGTCAACAGCACCCATGCCATTCTGATCCGGGACGGACCGACAACAACGGCCCGGGGCATCCGGAAAGCGCAATTTCGAACAGAGTCTGAATTGTCTAAAAAATGTACTGCAAGGTACTGGATATTTTCATTCAATTCGACGGGGGATGTGATGTGTGACATCTTGAACCAATTCGTCAGTTCGTCAAGGCCAATTTTGAGTGTGACATAGACAAAAATTTCGACAGACCCTCACATTGATGTAGGATGCTCACGTCCACTGCGGAGATTGTACCAAGCCGTTTTCCGCACTCGTTTGGGTTCCACAACGCTATATGGCTCAAAATACGGTTTTACCTCAATTTTCCGTTGTTTTACATTTGATTTTGGCTGGAAACGACAGCTGTGAGCCTGGAATTCCGCAAAAATATGTTTTAAAATCCGACTTCGAGGCTTGCATGTTACTGGAATATTTTAAGGGATTTTCATGGGGTACACGACAATTTTGGAGGAAAACGCGAATCTTGGAACCAATTTGTCAACCGCCCTGGTGACGTGACATTGACCAAAGTTCGTCGCCGTCAACACCCACTGTGATGCGTGACTGACGAATTGAATGAAATTATACAGTATTCGGGGCCTATTTGAGTCCTTTGACCATTTGATCGCCAATTTGCCCAAAGTTTTTGCTATTTGGGTTTCGTCCCGGCATCTTCTCCCATCGCAGTTCCTTACAGCCGTTTGCATATGTTCGTGAAAATGCGTTTTTTTTTTCGCGCTGTCACGTGTCTACCGGAGTTTGAATCAGGCATTGCGGAGTAATCATATGAGTAATGTATCTGCTTGAGAGACCCTGCATTGCATTCGTACCCATGAAATCTGCAGACGGCACGAGTGCAGTGGAATGCCGAAGCATCGGCATTGTCCGGATCACATCATTTATCATCCCTGCTCATCCCGTTGCTCTCCGGAGCCATTTGGGGCACTCCCATCTCAAAAGTCAAGGTAAACCAGCCCATAGGATGGCTCTACTCCAGCCTCCATCGGGCACGTGACAGCGCGAAAAAAAAACGTGTTTTCACGAACATATGCAAACGGCTGTAAGATGCCCGAAAATATTCCAGGAAGCTAATGACATGTAATGCTTGCTTCAGTTCAAGTTCCAGGAAATCAGAGCTCAACAGCCGCCACAGTACTTCCATCAAAATAATTTTGCAAAGGTGGCTTTCGACGATAGTAGACCAGAAATAATAATTGAAAGGTTGAGCACAAAAAGAAAAGGGAAAAGCCTTCAGAATCAGCTCAGGCGTCCCTGGTGAGTCAAACCCCCGGACCCATTCGAATGGTAAAACGCCGTTCAGTGTATGTGTGTTACCGTTACACCAAAGACACGACATTAGCAGTGCGAACTGATGGAAACAGATGTCTGTTGTAAAATCCGCATTGGCCCAAAATTTAGTGCTGTTCCTTTATTTTCTTGGACACGGGTGGCTTTGGCAGATGTTAATGGTCGTTTCAGTGGCAGGAAACGGACCTGCCAAAAGGAAGTTTGAGTCGGCTCAGAGTGAAAGAAATATATTTCAACACAAAAGTAATTGTCCGGGTATGTCATGCGACTCGAGCCCCAGACCTAAGTGCCAGTATCTATACGAGAAGTACTACTAGTAGATTGGGTGTCACCGCTACACCAAAGACAGCATCCAAAATGATGGAGACCATATCAATGCAGTGAACAATCGATATCAGTATCAATTGATGCGAAGAGAAGGGACGGGATGATAGATACGGATAATAATGGAAAGGCCGAGGAAATAAAAAAGAGAAGGGGGGGGAAAAAATTCAAGAAATTATGAGGCACCCTCGGGGAGTCGAACCCCGGACCAATCAAGTAGCGATCGACTGTGTGTTACCGTTACACCAAGGATGCTATATCAGTCATTTAAAATGATGGTTGTCCTTCTCTGCCTAAATTTTGCATTGTCCCGAGAAACACCGTGAAAGTCCGAATTGAATTGACGTAAATTGTGCCGACACAGGTGAAGCAAGCAACTGGCCGGGGCGGTGGGAAGCCTGAGGCTGACCCTGGGCAGAGAAATGAAAAAGAAAAAAAAAGTTTTTGCGGTGAAAATTAGGCGCCCTCGGGGAATCAAACCCCGGACCAATCCGACAATGTTATGGATCTTGTGTTACCGTTACACCAAGGACGCTACATCAGCGTTCCGAACTGATGGAAACAGACGTCTGCTGCTCAAATTCCGCATTCGAACTGTCCCCGAAAGAAGGAAGAAAAACGATGATAATCCAACAGATGCGCCCTCGGGAGTCGAACCCCGGACGCAATTCAAAATATATTCAAACATCAAAAGGAGATTGTGTGTCCACACCACTTAAGGGTAAATATCCGTCCTTCAATCAACGGAGATCATCCATCCCATCATGATACTTCCGAACAATGGATATCAATACTGGTACGGATCGTCAAAAGGATTGGTGCAGATTAAAGATTCACTGAGGTTAGAACAAATACCCGCAAACGGGAGGCCGGCCAAAAAAATAAACCAAGTCTGCTCGAGAGAAAGAAAGAAGGAACAAAAAAAAAACCTGCGACGATATCAATAGGCGTCCTCAGGGAGTCGAACCCCGGACCATTCGAATTGGTGGAAACCGAGCTGTGAATGTGTGTTACCGTTACACCAAGGACGCGATACCAAAGTCTCAAAATGATAGATCAAGCTGGGCTCTTAAAATTCCACATCTCGCATCCTGTTTATACTGGTGTTCATTTGTGCTATGCTCCTGAAGGGCTGGGTCTCGTCACAACTTGATGGAAAAGAACGAAGAAGAAAAAATAGATCCTAAGTCGAACCCCGGTCCATTCGAATTGGTGGAAACCGAGCTGTGAATGTGTGTTACCGTTACACCAAGGACGCGACAGCAGTCTCCCAATTGATGGATGGAGATCTTATGCTGTCTCTTCCTAATTCTGCATCTTGCGATGTCGTTCTGGCAAGCAAGGGAGAGCTAGTACTGGTGGGTGAAAGTTTACAGGAACCGAAGGAAATGACAGCTCCAAAGAAAACGAAACAGCAAGCAAAAAAAGGATTCTGAAAATCGGAAACACGTCCTCGGGGAGTCGAACCTCGAACTCAATCCAATATTTTCTGCTAGATGCAGATTGTATGTTACCGTTACACAAAGACACGATATCAGCCTCTCACAATGATGCATATGGCTGTTCCGGACTGCTGAGTCTGCTCCAATATCCATAGTTTGTATTCCGGAATTGAAATGAATTGGCTGGGAATTTATCAAATCCCAATGCAGTGAGGTCCAGAAAACAATGTCGATGTTTACAGTCTGAGTCTAACTCAGGTTGAAAACGGCATGCGGGCAGGGGACAAAAATGGGAGGAGAAACTTGCGTTGAACGAAAAAACAATGAATATTGTCACAATGCGCCTCGGGGACTCGAACCCCGGACCCAATCTAAGCGATACATTACTTTTGTATAAGTAGATTGTGTGTGACCGCTACACCAAGGGCGCTACACCCATCTGCCAATTAATGGAGCCACTGAGTTGCTTCTAAATCATCTCTTTAAGTATCCTGGAGATAAGCTCGGAAGAAAGCAGGAAAAAGTCACAGTTGCATTACACTGCACATTTCTACTGGAACACGGTGGTGCAGACAAAAAAAACTCCCCAAAAAGCAAAAGAAAAAGAAAAAAATAGACATTTGCTCCTCTTCCTGGGAATTGAATTATGCTGGAGCTTCAGGGTGCCTTTGTTGCATCTTGCTGCCGATGTGGTGGAGACGAACGTGGCAGGAAGTCTCAGTCGGTCAGAGTAAAAGAGAAAGACAGAAAGAACGAGAGCGAGAGCCAACAAAAAGCACGAGGGAAATTTGAATGCGCCCTCAGGGAGTCAGTCGAACCCCGGACCCAATCTAAGGGAACAAATAATGTGATAGAAGTAGATTGTATGTTACCGCTACACCAAGGACGCGACATCAAAGCTTCAAAATGATAGAGATCCTGGGTTGTTTCCAAATCAATATCAGTATCAAGCAAGAGTTGTTAGTGCAGATAAATAAATAAAAAGCTTGGCTGGGAGGAACAAAAGCTTGCCATTCAGAATAATGAAAACATACATACCAAGTGTCCTCGAAAGAAACAACTTGAAAGAAAAAAGAAAGAAAGAAAGAAAGAAAAAAAGTTCTACTAAAACTACCAGGCGACCTCGGGGAGTCGAACCCCGGACCATTCGATATAGGTAAAAACCAAGCGGTGAATGTGTGTTACCATTACACCAAGGACGCTGTATCAAAGCCTCAAAATGATAGGTCAAACCGATGTTAATGTCATTGGGGTTATTCGGGAGGGAGGAATTCGAACTCGAATAAAGCAAGTTGAAGAGGCCAACAAAGCGAGCTCAAGACCAGGGAAAAAAAAGGTATTTCACTGTCAATGGTGACAGGTTTAACTTGGACCCGGTGGTGCTTCGGAAACCAAGCAGAGAACGGGGAAGGAAACAAAAAGCATGAAGTCGACATGGATGCGCCCACGGGGAGTCGAACCCCGGACCCAATCTCATATATTCGTCACGCAGAGAAGTAGATTGTGTGTTACCGCTACACCAAGGGCGCGATGCCATCTTGTCATCCTGTTCGCTTCTTCACTTGTCAGGTCTCCTGATTAATATTGTCTCATTTGTGTGCCAGTGAGTTGCCTGCTCAGGATGTCTGAGATAAATACTTGCAGAGCAACGCAATGCCAGCGTTCATGCACAGGAAGCCTGAGTCTGAGTGTGGTCACAGCCAGAAGGAAACGAGAGCACGAGAACAAAAAAATAAAAAGACGATGGGCTCGTGTACATGCGACCTCGGGGAGTCGAACCCCGGACCCAATCTCACATATTTATCACGCAAAGAAGTAGATTGTGTGTTACCGCTACACCAAGGGCGCGATGCTGTTCTGTTATCATGCCATCTTGTCATCTTGGTTACTTGTATCCGAGTTGCTTGTTCCCTACTATATTAAGTAGGACGCCGACATCACACATAACATAAAGGCGAAGATTAACGTCATCCGACTGCAGCTGCGCTCGCCGTCGCTCGACAAAATATATTCGCACAGGGCGCGAAGACGCCGATCAGGGCGCGCGCGCCGGTAACCATATAAGCCACATACAGTACTACAAGAACGCCGCCCCTATCGTATCGATCTCATAGATGTGGGGTACTCCACATCCCGCATCCCGCATCCCACTATCCCACCGACATCGGACCCCGACAAACACGGCAAGGCGGGCGCGTGGCGATAGAGTTTGCGCGCCAGGCGGGGAGTTTTGATGTATATCATTGAATTGAATTGAATTGGCGGTTGGCGCCGCACGCCACGCCTGGCTGCGCCGGGGGAGTTCGCCGCGCGTGCGCCGTTTGGTACAGTGTATACGTATACGTAAACAGGGCCGACAAGTGCCGACGAGACAAGACGCGTACATACGCCCCTTGTCGTAGCGAGCCGGTTCGTACATAACCCGCTGTGGCTGACGGCGCGGGCGACGATTGGTCACCGCTCGACGAACGAATGATTGAATCGGTAGCGTGGCACCGTGACGAAGCAGGGGAGAAGAACCGTGGGGCGTGGGCATGGGCACCGTGATTCGTGACGGAGGCGCAACGGCGAACCATCAGCCGCGAAGGCGGGGCTGGATGGTGCATCAGAAGTCGTTGTCGGAGGACTCGGAAGACGGACGGACGCGATTGAATCAGATTGGGAATTAAAGGAGCGGAGAGACCCCGGGGAGCGCGGCGCTTCTGCGCCTGATGGCGATGGAACGTGTCATCGGTGCACCAATTTTGAATGACGCAGAAGAGAGAGGAGAGAGCGCTGGTAGGAGGTAGGCAACGGTTGGAAGAGGCTGGGCCAAGTCGTCGTGGCGGTGCCTGTGGGAGACGGCAATCAAACGGCAATCCAAATTGGTCGTCACTAATGACTGTCTTCCTCACTGTTCTTGCTGCCGCTGTGAGGTTTGTTCTCTAGGCCTCAGGCCTCGTGCGCAACCGCCGCCACATCATCGTGAAGTCGATGCTTCTACTCTCCTCTGCTAGCGTCGCAGCGACTCGGAGAAGAATTGCGCGTCGCAACTAAAGTCTAAAACCCCAACACCGGTTGGCGTTCTTTTGGCCAAAAACAAGGACGCTCATGGATATTGCATTCGTGCTGGCGGACGAGCGGATGAAGACGGCGTCACACGGTGCTGGAAAGCTTCAATAAGCACTTCACCACCTATCCCGCCGAACGCGTCATTGAAAAACATAAGGCCCTTTTCGCTCGTGCACAGCGTGGACGCCATGCCGCTGCACCACGCATTCGTGCCATGCTAGATTCCGGCCGCAGCTCAAGAGGACTCTGACGAGGCTACTCAACCTTTCGCTTCCTGTATATTCATATCCGATTCTTCGCACGGCACTGCTTACAAGGAGTTGTATAAGCTAGTCAAAGTCGATAATCATCGCTCGGCCACTGTCATCGTCCTTAACTCGCATGGCCTGGATCGATTTCCCAGGCATACTCGCACGATAATCCCTCAACCTACGACGTGCCCCCTGCCCGTTATCTGTTCCCAATAGTGCTTTGAACATTCCATCCCTTGCCCGCCTCGTTTTACCGCGGTCCATCCTTCCACAACTGGGAAAGCAGGTATCATGTTGATCATGTTCGTGTCATCGTTGATGATGTCTTCCCGAAGGATGCGACGAAGATTTGCCAACGACAACGATCCTCCCAATGACTTGTACCGCTCCGCAACGATATCGTTCCATTGGAGCGAATTGTCTTTCGTCTTCTCTGGGTATTGCTTTATCTGACCCAGGCTTGCCAGGGACGTAACGAATTTGGTCATTGAAATTCTGGTCGGCGACGATGATGCCGTTCGGGACATCGAAGTAATTCTTGTCAGCGGTTTCTTTACCTTCCCGTCCAATGCTCGAGTGTTTCTGAAATGGAGTTCAGAAGATTCTCGATTTCTTCGCCGTCCCCAGAGGATGTATGTATGGATGCTCGACGTCTCAACGAATGGTTTGTATAGTTCGTTGTACTTCTCCGCCAGGCCATTTGTGTTACCTGGGGAAGCTTTTAAGACGCAAAGGTTTAATCATTATTTTCCTTCCGGCAAACATGCAATCTTACATTCGATGTCTTGAAGAATTCTCGACCCTTTATTCAAACATCTAGGGTACGGGTCGACCTGTGAAATTTGAGTTGCGCCACATGATAAGGTGGTGTACCATACAAATGAGCTCAACTTACTGCTCGAATATCGGTTGGCAGGGCCGCCACATAAATGGCAGAGATGACGATGGGTAAGATAGTGCGGAAGTGTGCATTCAATGGCAAGTATACGACCAGCGTATATGCTAACCAACCTGGGTTATGGACCGGCGAAAGTCGCCTCCTTTATATATTCGCAAGAATCACGGTGTTCATGGGATGTATAAAGTCATACATGATCCTAGAGTAGTTACCCGTCACCGTTTGACGAGCGGTCAAAATTTGCTCGAGACGGTTTCCAACCCAGGTCGAGACGCATGACGTCTAAAATTTCAGAGATTTTACGCCTTTAGACTGGATGGATAGCTGGAATATATACCTTTCTACGCGCTGCGCCTTAAAATTAAAAACTTAAATTGATAAAAAGGGCCTGATCGGGTGCCTACAAATTCTACAGAACATTTCCCAGTAGATCTACTGTTCTCACACAATTCGTTCCTAAACCATCCTAGAATAGGCAATATATTTATTTTCGTAAATAGTGATGAGACGAGATGGAAGGGAAGACATTGGCTCAAAATATTCAACATTTTCTAGAGTTGAACTTAGAATTTCTGGAACCGTCTCAGAATCCGGTTGGAAATTTTCGCTTGAATAGTTGTATCAGAGGTTCTAGGATGGTTTGGGAATCCAGACGAAAACTCATATATATACGCCTACAAGATTCCAGAAAATATCTAAGAGTACCTGATCAGGCTCTAATAAACAAAGTAGCCCGCTGTGGGGCATATGTGAGTCTTACGGCAGGATAAGTCAAGTCCCCAAATGTTGCGGTCGTGTTTCGGCATACAGGAAGCGATTTAATAGGAGGATCGCCAGCGGGCACGCTTCTGTGAGTGGCGCTCGGTTACTTTGAGTGATCAGCGAGAAGCAAAGCTCATCAACAGTGTTATGTGACAAAAATATAATTCCGAATATTATAGCAAAACAACTCATTTCCCCATAGCAGCATACTCCGGTGGCGGCTCCTCCCCCTCCCCAAGCAGCCTTGACCCCCGCACCGACATCACGCTATACGGGTCCGTGCCACCTGCGAACGAACTTTCGCTCGGGCTCGTCGGGATGAGCGTCCCGCTGACGGGCGACGGCGGCCGCCTCGGCAGCGGTCGGCGCTTCTCCGGGGGATATGATACCGGCGCGGGGCGAGGATTGTTCGGATGGGCAACGGAGCGGTCGCTCGGATGCGCGAAAGAAGGATCGCCCAGAGCGTGCGTTCCGTCGGAGGTGCCGGCGGTAGCAGATACGAACGCAGGATTGACGAACGGCTGCATCGATGAGACAGATGGCGGCGGTGCCGGTGGGCGTTGGCGCCAAGAGAGCGGTCGCCCTTGCGCGTGGCGGCGGCGCATGATGATGTAGGTGATAATGACAAGAGCGAGGAAGAAGAGGCCTGCGACAACGATACCCGCAATTGTTGAGGAAGGCATTGATGTGGACCCGGATGCGGATCCGGATGCAGAAGGCGTGGTGGAGGTGGTAGTGGTATTTACGGTGGAGGCGCTTAAGTAGGTAGCGCTCAGCAGGGCGGCAAGCGCGTTAGTTTGGTTGTCCAATGCGAACGAGGAACTCGGCGGACCAATCCATTGGTTCGCATAAACATTGTCGCCGTTCGTTGCGAAGTCCATGACGGCGTTAAACTACCGTCTCTGGAGTCAGCAGCGAGAACACAAAGTAGGGCAAACGAAGAACACCTGAACACCGAGATAGTCATGCAAGTTTGCATGAATGTCTGGGGAGGTAACATTGCGCACATACGCAGCCGCAAGCGCGCGAATAAGGATAGAATCCCCGTCTTTACCAGCTACGGCCAAATTCAACTCAGTAGCGGCAAACCATATAATGCACTGACCTCCATTGGCTATGATCCCTCCCGACGTCTGCCAATCCGGATTAGCCAGCACAGCCGTGATGACATTGTCCAGCCTATTATCTTGAGTTTCCTGTCTTCCAAAATAAATACTCTCGGAAACTCACGTATTCTGTGTCGTCGCATCCTGCGTGATCGACACGAGCACCGCCAGCCCCTCAATGAACAGCCCAGAATTGAACGAATTGACGGCATCGTTGAGGACTTTACACGAATCATTTTGGCTTGCAGATATGCTTTGGAAGACTAAGTGGTCGCCATTATACAGCTGCGTCTGGATGAATGCGGCGGACTCCTTCGCGGCGTCGAGGTATTTCGGGTCGGGTGTTGCCTCTGTTGCCTCTGCTAATAATGCGGATAACCTGAGGCAGAGAAGTTGCAGTGGAGATGCTGTCTGTGAATTAGGAATCCACATACAGCATAAAATATCTATGTCAATCGTCA